AACATGCATGCTCGTGAGTATAACTTTTTTTTCTACCCTAAACCCTAGGGCATGGAGATCTCATGCAGTCATACCATGTTAGGGACTAACTCTTAAAAGGTTTACAGCTGTTAGGTGGGTCCAAGAATGTTTTTTGATATCTTTCAATTTGGTCCAGCTAGTAAAAATGGGACAGGGCTTATTTTTAAGCCTTTATCTGATTAAGCATTCAGAAAATTTCTACCTCGAGACTGGAGTGGAATCATTATGTTCTCTATTGAAGTAATATGACAAATGTGTTAATTTTTTATGGTTTCAAGCCTCAGGTGTCACGAAACGCTGATCACCACCCAGCTTTTGTTGCTGTTTATAACATGGATACAACTGAAATTGTATCTTTTTATCAGGTGAATTTGTTTTTCGTCCTGTTTTATTTTCTTGGGTTTTCTGTGTTAGTGTCTTGGTGTTTTTTGACTCATTTTACATTTTATCAGAATTCAGCAGACGAGCTTTATCTGTTGTTTGAGCAGTTCTGTGACCACTTCCATGCAACATCAAGGAATTCAATGTATATGAATTTTATATCTTCTCATTCAAATAATATTCATGCACTGGAACAGCTACGTAGCATAAAAGATAAGGCGAGCAGCTCTTCACAGGTAAAATGGTGCTGTTAGTTGTATCCTTATAATTGCTTGGTGCTTGCCCCCTCTCCCTAGATAAAAGGAAAATCAAAAGGACAATTTACATGGTGTGCTAATGTGTTGTGCGTATAAATTTTGTTTGTTGTTTTGCAGTTTGTGAAGAAGATGCTTGCCTCTTTGCCTTTCAGCTGTCAGTCACAGAGTCCTTCTCCTTACTTTGACCAATCTCTTTTCCGGTTTGATGATAAGGTTTACTATAGATGTTTATTTGCTTGTCTATTTTCCATGCAGTGACCAGAACTTTTTTATAGATGTTTGTCTGCTTGTCTATTTTCCATGCACAGTAACCAGAGGTTCTTTTATTGAATTCAATATATTTGGGACAACGAGGGGTAAATACTGGTTAAAGTGGAGTTCCAGCTGCTAGATTAGTGTTAGTACATAATAAGTAGGCAGGAATGGGGAATCAAATTGGGGTCCTCCTTTGCAGCCGGGACATAACATCAGTCGAACTTACTGCTTAAGGCCTGTCTTTTCGTCCTGTTGGGACTTGGTTGGGAGGGTATCATGTCAATCTGAACGCCCATTTCTTCAATGTTGTCGTTTTAGATATCTAGAAAGAAATTTGAAGCTGAGTTTCTTTACACGTTTGGTAAAAAGGGTAAGAAACGAAGGGAAAAGAATTGAAAAGGAAAGAAGAGAAGTGTGAGGAAGGAAATAAAAGAGAAATAAAGTGGAAGTTGACTTTTTTTTATAGATAATTTTGTCTAAAAATAATAATAATAATAAATTTCCAAATAAATAAACAAATATATTTTTATAAATAATTTTATTTAAATATAATAAATATTTTTTATTATATTTATTTATTATAGTTGTATTTTTTGAAATATATATAACATTCATAAATAAATTTATATAAAATATAAACGAAAATTATTTATTATTAATATTATTATCATCTACTTCCTTACTCTTCCTTTCATTTTAGAGGGATTTTTTTTATGAGTCCTACAATAATTTTTTCACATTTTTGTCT